AGGGTGCTCCCATGATGAGGGTGCTCCCATGAGGAGGGTGCTCCAAGGACAAGGGTGCTCCCACGATGAGGGTGCTCCCACGAGGAGGGTGCTCCCACGATGAGGGTGCTCCCGTGATGAGGGTGCTCCAAGAACAAGGGTGCTCCCATGATGAGGGTGCTCCCATGATGAGGGTGCTCCAAGGACAAGGGTGCTCACACGATGAGCGTGCTCCCATGATGAGGGTGCTCCCAGGACAAGGGTGCTCCCACGATGAGGGTGCTCCCCAGAATGAGGGGGCAAACGGGATGAGGTTGTTCCCCTGGGTGACGATGCACCCCAAGGTGAGGGAGCTCCCAGGACAAGGGTGCTACTCCAGGGTGAGTTTGTTCCCCAGGACCAGGGTGCTCCCGGGAGCAGGGTCCTCCCTGCATCACGGTGCTCCCAGGATGAGGGAGCTCCCCGGGCCAGGGTGCTCCCAGGGTGAGGATGGTCCCAGGATGAGGCTGCTCTCCAGGACAAGGGTGCTACTCCAGGGTGAGTTTGTTCCCCAGGACCAGGGTGCTCCCGGGAGCAGGGTCCTCCCTGCATCACGGTGCTCCCAGGATGAGGGAGCTCCCCGGGCCAGGGTGCTCCCAGGGTGAGGATGGTCCCAGGATGAGGCTGCTCTCCAGGACAAGGGTGCTACTCCAGGGTGAGTTTGTTCCCCAGGACCAGGGTGCTCCCGGGAGCAGGGTCCTCCCTGCATCACGGTGCTCCCAGGATGAGGGAGCTCCCCGGGCCAGGGTGCTCCCAGGGTGAGGATGGTCCCAGGATGAGGCTGCTCTCCAGGACAAGGGTGCTACTCCAGGGTGAGTTTGTTCCCCAGGACCAGGGTGCTCCCGGGAGCAGGGTCCTCCCTGCATCACGGTGCTCCCAGGATGAGGGAGCTCCCCGGGCCAGGGTGCTCCCAGGGTGAGGATGGTCCCAGGATGAGGCTGCTCTCCAGGACAAGGGTGCTACTCCAGGGTGAGTTTGTTCCCCAGGACCAGGGTGCTCCCGGGAGCAGGGTCCTCCCTGCATCACGGTGCTCCCAGGATGAGGGAGCTCCCCGGGCCAGGGTGCTCCCAGGGTGAGGATGGTCCCAGGATGAGGCTGCTCTCCAGGACAAGGGTGCTACTCCAGGGTGAGTTTGTTCCCCAGGACCAGGGTGCTCCCGGGAGCAGGGTCCTCCCTGCATCACGGTGCTCCCAGGATGAGGGAGCTCCCCGGGCCAGGGTGCTCCCAGGGTGAGGATGGTCCCAGGATGAGGCTGCTCTCCAGGACAAGGGTGCTACTCCAGGGTGAGTTTGTTCCCCAGGACCAGGGTGCTCCCGGGAGCAGGGTCCTCCCTGCATCACGGTGCTCCCAGGATGAGGGAGCTCCCCGGGCCAGGGTGCTCCCAGGGTGAGGATGGTCCCAGGATGAGGCTGCTCTCCAGGACAAGGGTGCTACTCCAGGGTGAGTTTGTTCCCCAGGACCAGGGTGCTCCCGGGAGCAGGGTCCTCCCTGCATCACGGTGCTCCCAGGATGAGGGAGCTCCCCGGGCCAGGGTGCTCCCAGGGTGAGGATGGTCCCAGGATGAGGCTGCTCTCCAGGACAAGGGTGCTACTCCAGGGTGAGTTTGTTCCCCAGGACCAGGGTGCTCCCGGGAGCAGGGTCCTCCCTGCATCACGGTGCTCCCAGGATGAGGGAGCTCCCCGGGCCAGGGTGCTCCCAGGGTGAGGATGGTCCCAGGATGAGGCTGCTCTCCAGGACAAGGGTGCTACTCCAGGGTGAGTTTGTTCCCCAGGACCAGGGTGCTCCCGGGAGCAGGGTCCTCCCTGCATCACGGTGCTCCCAGGATGAGGGAGCTCCCCGGGCCAGGGTGCTCCCAGGGTGAGGATGGTCCCAGGATGAGGCTGCTCTCCAGGACAAGGGTGCTACTCCAGGGTGAGTTTGTTCCCCAGGACCAGGGTGCTCCCGGGAGCAGGGTCCTCCCTGCATCACGGTGCTCCCAGGATGAGGGAGCTCCCCGGGCCAGGGTGCTCCCAGGGTGAGGATGGTCCCAGGATGAGGCTGCTCTCCAGGACAAGGGTGCTACTCCAGGGTGAGTTTGTTCCCCAGGACCAGGGTGCTCCCGGGAGCAGGGTCCTCCCTGCATCACGGTGCTCCCAGGATGAGGGAGCTCCCCGGGCCAGGGTGCTCCCAGGGTGAGGATGGTCCCAGGATGAGGCTGCTCTCCAGGACAAGGGTGCTACTCCAGGGTGAGTTTGTTCCCCAGGACCAGGGTGCTCCCGGGAGCAGGGTCCTCCCTGCATCACGGTGCTCCCAGGATGAGGGAGCTCCCCGGGCCAGGGTGCTCCCAGGGTGAGGATGGTCCCAGGATGAGGCTGCTCTCCAGGACAAGGGTGCTACTCCAGGGTGAGTTTGTTCCCCAGGACCAGGGTGCTCCCGGGAGCAGGGTCCTCCCTGCATCACGGTGCTCCCAGGATGAGGGAGCTCCCAGGGCCAGGGTGCTCCCAGGGTGAGGATGGTCCCAGGATGAGGATGCTCTCCAGGACAAGGGTGCTCAACAAGATGAGTTCGTTCCCCCGGACCAGGATGCTTCCAGGACCAGGGTGCGCCCGGGAGCAGGGTGCTCCCTGCATCCCGGTGCTCCCAGGACGAGGGTGCTCCCAGAACGAGGGTGCTCCCAGGACCAGGGTGCTCTCTGCATCCCGGTGCTCCCAGGACCAGGGTGCTCCCAGGATGAGGGTGCTCCAAGGACGAGGGTGCTCCCAGGACCAGGGTGCTCCCAGGATGAGGGTGCTCCAAGGACGAGGGTGCTCCCAGGACCAGGGTGCTCCCAGGATGAGGGTGCTCCAAGGACGAGGGTGCTCCCAGGACCAGGGTGCTCCCAGGATGAGGGTGCTCCAAGGACGAGGGTGCTCCCAGGACCAGGGTGCTCCCCGTATCCCGCTTCCCCTGGTTTCGCTGCCCTCCCTGCCCGGCCCTGCAGCCAGGGAGGTCCCCGCGAGCGGGGCGGCCGCGCGAGCCCCTTCCCCAGGGAG